TTCCACGGCGTCAACATTACCACCAATGATTCCGTCTCGGCTGCCCTGCTCAGAATGCTACTTGGGTCCATCACCTCCTCGGGATCTGGAAACTCGACCTCTGCGACGGCCGGGGGCAGCGATCCCGTCTTGGACCGCCATCCGTCACTCTTGAGCGGTGTTGGCTGGTTGCGCAACCTGACCCGGTACCCGGTCGTCAACAGAACCGTCATCGGTGTGCTGGAAGGCCAGATCATCACCATTCTGGTCATCATCTCCTTCATTTTGGTTATTCTTGTGCGCGACTACGTCGTGCAGCAACAGCCAGAGATCAACATGAGAGCCGCCTTCGCAGCTAATGAGAACCAGCAGGCGCAAGCCCCGCATCAGCATGAAGAGCATGAACATGAACATGAACATGATCATGGACATGACCACGCCCATCTTGAACACGACGCTGAAGACTTCGACTTCGACCAACATGGCCATCATGAGAGCGACGACGACGATTTTGGCTCTATGACCGGGGCTCACTACGGGTCAGAGGATGAAATGCCTCCTATGACATGGGAAGAGCAGGAGCCGAATGGAGAGCCTGCAGAGCCAGCACCACCACGATCTCTGGGAGGATTTCGCCCTCGTGCGTATGACAGCGCTGAGCCTGATTTCAACTTCAACACGCCGCCCCAGGCTGCCCCAAACAAGGACTCGCAGACGCCCGTCGCTACTGTCCATGAGTATCTGCGGATTTACCGGCAAGCAGCCGGCGATCCGGAAAAGATTCTGAAAATCATTGAAGAAGAGGACCTTGATGACACTCTTGGCTACTGGGCTAGGATTACACGATCAATGATTGACAAGAACAACAAGGATGCTGGCGCAGGCCAGTCAAAGAACGAAGCTGGATCAGACGGACCCTCGAATCCCAAAGAAACACAGGCATCTCCGCAGCCCCCAGTTCAATTGCCCGCGCCGTCGACGCCCCAATTCTCCTGGCCGCCAAACCCCCCAGCTGAGAGCAGCACGAACGGAGATGCCAAGGGAAAAGGAAAAGAGGTTCAAGAAGACACTCAGCAGTTCCGCTTCGGCGACGAAGCGAACAACACACGTTCAACTTCTTTCCAGAGCCCTCTGCGACCCCGAGCTGTCTCCGACGGCCCCCAGCGCAATGAGACTATCAACCCGCTTGCCAATAACAGTTGGTCCTTTTCAAACATCAACACGGAAACGCCGGCCCAGCCGCAGGAGCCATCACCCATTCCCCGCGCGGCGCCTCAACCTCGCCAGTACGACTTCTTGGGATCTGCAACTCCGCCCCTGAGCACTTCGGCTGAATATGGCTCTGATAAGGATACTGGCTTTGAGCGCATTCACACTCCTCAGGACAACGCTTCTTTCGAGGGCCCCGAGCTTGGACCGCAGACGGCAGACTTCATCGGACCTCAACAAGACAGTGGAGTTGTTGAAGACATCGTCGATGCTCATGGAGAGATCCAAGAAACCGAGGATGGCCGAGTTCCCCAGCGCCCGCCGCTGCAGCGAGGCGTCATGGATCGCGTTGCTGATTTCATGTGGGGCGACATTGAGCCCCGAGAGTTGGACATCGGACGGGAGGGAGATGAGGCTGCTCATGAGCATGGCGACGACACCGACGAAGATGACTTTGACGACCTGGATGACGACGATGATGACGCAGTGGAGCAAGACCGCGAGGTGGTTGAAGCTGCCGTTGCCGCTGGACTGGACCCCGAAGCAATTGATGACGCCGAGGATTTTGAAGGTATCATGGAGTTAATCGGCATGCGAGGTCCTATCGCTGGGCTGTTCCAAAACGCCATCTTCTGCGTCGTTCTTGTTTCGGTCACCATCTTTGTCTGCGTTTTCTTGCCTTACAACTTGGGCCGAGTCAGCGTGTGGGCAGCCATGAACCCGATGCGCCTGGTCCGTATGCTGTTCAGCTTGACTAAGTTCATCCAAGACCTCGCCGTCGGTATCATGACTGGCATCTCCAGCTTGGTTCTCTTCTTCGTCTACACCACTGGCAGAATGATGGGTTTCCCTGCTAATAACGGCGTCGGTGCGCTATCCATGAAGACCTTCAACTTGTTTACCAGCGCATCCATGCGAGTCCTGGAAAGCATTACCGGCGAACTGCCTCTCATCTCGACCACCGAAATGCAAAATTTTTCCGCCATCAGCCACGAAGCGCTGTTGAATCTCAAGGCGTGCCTTTCCGGTTCTCTGGCTGCTGTTGGGGATGTGCTCAACTCGATTTTCGACCGCGACCTGATCACAAATGCGAAGTACATGGGATCACTTTCGGCCAACGCCACCATGTATGCTTGGAATGCTGCGCAAGACCTCCCCATCAGCATTCTCAACCCTGGATCATGGGTGATCAGCTTCAGCGTGCCCGAGCTTTCTACCTCTGTTAACCCTGCCCTCTCGTACTGGTCAGGAACCGACCGCTTCTGGGCCATTCTATGCGGTTACTTCACGTTCTCGGCTATCAGCGCTCTCTATCTCAGGAGAGGTTCACCATTCTCCACCGGGCAGACAGGACAGGAATGGGAAGCGTCGTTGATCGACCTGTTGAACCAGGCCAGCGGCGTGATGAAGGTCATTCTCATAATCAGCATCGAGATGCTCATTTTCCCGCTGTACTGTGGCCTCTTACTGGATGTCGCATTACTCCCGCTCTTTGAGGATACCACTTTGAAATCTCGTGTCGCCTTCACGATAAACTACCCGCTCACCTCCATCTTCGTCCACTGGTTCGTAGGTACAGGGTACATGTTCCACTTTGCGCTGTTCGTCTCTATGTGCCGCAAGATCATGCGTAAAGGTGTCCTTTGTAAGTTGTCCTTCGTGCGCTTGGCTTGGCTGTTGCTAACATTCATAGACTTCATCCGCGACCCAGATGACCCAGAGTTCCACCCCGTGCGCGACGTTCTGGAACGCAACGTCATGACGCAGCTGCGAAAGATTCTGTTTTCCGCATTTGTGTACGGAGCCTTGGTTATTGTTTGCCTTGGTGGAGTGGTCTGGGGCTTGTCCCTTACGCTCCCCAACGTTTTGCCGATCCACTACTCGTCGAATGAACCGGTACTCGAGTTCCCCATCGATCTGCTCTTCTACAACTTTGCTATGCCCTTGGCTGTTAAGTTCTTCAAACCTAGCGACGGCCTGCACGCCATGTACACCTGGTGGTTCCGCAAATGCGCCAGAGGTCTCCGCCTGACCTGGTTCCTCTTTGGCGAACGACGCATTGATGAGGAAGGTATTCTAGCTCTGCGACCTGGTTCGGAGCACGACGCTCTGCCGTGGTGGAGGCGCCTGTTTCTCGAAGTCAACAAGCAGAACAAGGTCGTGCCGAAGACTTGGGAGGACACTTTTGAGGGCGGCACAGCCAAGCCGGTGTCGTCTATCGCAAATGACCAGATGATGATTTTGACCCTGAAGAAGGCTCGCCTTGTGGACTCTGGCCAGCTGATCGAGGACGGCTGCTTCGTGCGTACGCCCGCATCTGACCAAGTTAAGATTCCGAAGGGAAGACGCGTATTCATGCCAGTTACTGAAGCCAACACTCGGCTGGACGGCAAAGATGACTCTCCCGACACCGATCTGTACTCTACGGACCAGTACCAGCCCGTGTATATCCCCCCGCATTTCCGAGTCCGAGTCTTCCTATTCATCATGTTCATCTGGATCTTCGCTGCCGTTACGGGTGTTAGCTTCACAATCGTCCCGCTCGTATTCGGCCGCAAGATGTTCAAGGTCCTTATTCCCGCACACATCAGGACCAACGACATCTACGCTTTCAGCATTGGCATCTACATCCTTGGTTCGGTGGCCTACTTCTTGTTCCATGCCAGATCCCTCTTTAAGAGAATGACGGCTTGGGCTTCAAACGCATTACAGACCGTATGGCATAGCGATGCTCCGATGAGGTTTGCGCTTGTCGGAATCCAGGCCGCCAAACTCGTCTACACATACACCGTTCTTCTAGTCGTTTTCCCGCTTATCCTCACCGCCCTCATGGAGCTATACTGCCTTATCCCTCTCCATACTTACATGTATCCCCCTACCCCCTATGTCGTTGAGGCAAACAGTGGGGGCCAGTTCAAGGATGGAATCGTCGTGCCGAACCATCATACTGCGAGAGTTATCCAATCTTGGACACTAGGTCTGCTGTACGTCAAGCTTGGCGCTCGCGCCATTACAAGTCTCTACGAGGGTACGCGCATGGCCCAGGCCGTTCGTGCCGTCCTTCGCCGCGGCTGGCTTCAGCCTGACGTGCTCATCCTTACCCGGGCGTTTGTCGTTCCCGGGGTTCTCGTCGGCGGCCTGGCCATCTTTGGACCTCCATACGCCGTCGGCTGGATGCAGTCCCACGGCGCGCTCGGAACGCCGCTCCCGGCCCCTCACGAACTCAAGGTGTTCTACAGACTGTCCTACCCCGCTGCGGCATTCAGCGCTCTGGCTTTGATGGCATTCTGGAGTGTTGTTGGCGTGTTCAACAATTGGAAGGCACGTATCAGAGATGAGGCGTATCTTATCGGGGAGAGACTGCATAACTTTGGAGTCGGTGCTGCCGGAGCGGCAGGCGCCCGCGGGCCTTGGAGAGTCAGAGGCAGGTTGTGATGATGCGGCTTGCTACTAGACGGGCTTAATTGGCCCGAGCATGAATATAGATGATAACATTGGGTTTCGGCGAATGGCGTCGTTTCTTGTACGTTATACTGTAAGTAGGGCGTGTGCCTTTCACACTAAATTACTCCGTCCATACAACGGTCGCAGTGGAATCGGTGACTTGTGATTGTGCTGCGATGGCTCTCAACCGATAAGCATATTTTACAGCCACGCTTGACGAAGATAAATGATTGATTGCTTGTCATTACTCATTGCAGTCTAACATGAACCCCCACCAGCCGGGCACTTTTGCCTGCTTTACAGTTACCAGTGCTTGCCATCTCATATCATACACATTTCCCCTTCCACCACATCCACAGCGCACCCACTTAGAAGAACAAGGCCGCACCACCAACAGCAGCAACCAACGAGACGAGCAGGCTTGCGCCCGCGCCCGCGCCGAGCAGGCCGGCAGACGCGCCCGGTGCGGCGTTGGGCGTGCTCGAGCTCGAGCTCGAGGCGGACGGCGACGTGCTGCTCGACGCGCCGCCGCCGTTGACTAGCGCCGTGAGGGAGGGATCGGAGGAGAAGTCGACGGTGATGGAGGCGTTTTTGCAGTCGGAGTTTGTGGCGGCGGTGCCTGTGACGAAGTTCACGGCGGCGCACTGGGTGGGTTGAGTCAGCGGCTGTGTATTCTCTCTCTCCGTCTTCAATTGGAGGGGGGATCGTTGGGATGGAAGACTTACAGAGTAGAGCAGCCCGTCAGGCGAATGCGCAACAACACCAAGCACGCCCTTCTTGCCGGCGTACTCGGCAGGGACGGCGATCTGCGGCTCGCAGAAGTTGCCGAGGCCGGTCTGCAAGACGATGGGGAAGACCTGGGTCCAGTTGCCGGACGCGGTCTGGTCGAGGGTCGCGCGGAAGAGCCAGGTGGTCTGCGGGTGGCCGTTGGACATGCCGACGGCGTCGCCGGCGACGTGGAAGTCTGTGGTCGCGGAGGAGGAGGAGGCGGAGTAGCCGCCGCAGGGGGCGGTGCCTTGGTTGTCGTCGCTATCGCCGAGGGGCTTGGGGAGGGTGAGGGAGAAGTGGGCGAGGGCCGGGGTTGAGAGCAGGAGGAGGGGGAGGAGGCGGGTCATTTTGGCGGTTGGTGATGGGTTTCTTGGTGGTGAGTGTTTGGTTGTTGGTTTGTGAAGGTGAGGGAGGTGAGTATGGATAGCCGTGGGGAGAGGCAGGTGAAGGAAAGTTTGGTGATGGGGTGAGAAGCTTTAAGAGGGAGGATGAGTGAGTGGTCAATGGCTGGGAGGAATAACTACCCGAGCAACGGCTCTCATAAGGCTAGCTTGGCCCGCTAGAATAGGTTTAGGTGTAGGATGTGGAAGCTCTTGAGCTTCTTGTTTCTCTGTATGACATGGGGTTGTTTCCGTGTCACTGGCAAGCTAAGCAAGCTACCTATCCCGCGGGGCAAATATTGCCGAGTTGGAGCCGCGATGGCAAACTACCTACTTCACCTAACACACGCATGCCGACGTCAAGGCAAGCCAGCCATGCTTCTAGTGGCCCGCTCTATATCCGTTCAACTGACAGCTGGTCACGATGCCATAGCAGAGAGCATACTACGACCTCGCTGCTTTCGGGACTCGGCACGGGCAGAAGTAAGACTTAGCTTAGCTTGGAAGGTGTTCTTGGTAGCTTGTTCATTTGCTGTGTTGGCGTGGAGGCGACTGAGGAGTGCAGAGGCATGGTGAGAGAAACTTGCTCACTGCGGTCCAGATCCTCGAACACGCTAGCTTTTGAGCCCTTCATGGTTGCATGCGCCGGACCCCTGGAGATGCAGGCACCGAGCAAATGTCCATCGCCCCAGAGTGTTCGGGGGACTCTTGGATTTCGGAATCTGGAGAACCGATGAGGCTCTTGAGGATAGTCAATTTCCCCTTCAAATAAGCATGTTTCTTTTTCTGCTTCATCTCGAGTTCCACCACGAGAGGGGGGACCCTTCAAACGTGGGGAGGATAACGACATCGGGAAGGTTGTTGTGGTTTGGGTTTTGCTGGACGAGGATGTTGGTTTAACCTTGGTCGGGTTAGCTCCAGATGCGAGCAGGGGCTCCGTTGGCTTCGGGGGCGGGAGAGTGGCCAATCACAGACACGGGATTTGGATGTCACTGAGAGGTTTTGAGCAAATTGTGGCGTTTGCGCGGGTTTGATCTGGGGGACCCCTGTCTTCTTGTTTGGATAAGGCTCGAGGGCGCGGGTGCATCTCAGTCATCTCTTGTGAGCATGTTGTCTGTGGAATGATCGCTAGAGGGGAGCTTTTGCCTGGTCTGGATAGATCTGTGTGCAGTGGGATTGAAGAATGAGAAAAGGATGGAAGAAGAGTCACATGAGGAGTAAGATGTGAATAGCCGATGAAGTGTGTGTTATTGTTTGGCCGTGGTTTGGTGTAAGTGTCACAAGGTGACAGGACACACCATCGAGCCAACCGTTCGACCCGAGTCAAGGGGACAGGGCTCGAGGTGACAGGAAACAAAACCGAAGGCGAAGGAGAAACAAAAAAAGACAAAATGCGAAAACGGGGAAGAAGATCCGATGTTTTTGGTTGACTGGCAAGATGGTGCCGAAGACAGGCCATTCCTGTCGTGTTGCGAACCTTGTCATCGCACATGAAGAATCCCTCAGATTGAAGTGTGTGTCTGGATGGCCGGCGCTAGTGACGGATGGCTGCCCATGCTTGCGCATCTGTGCCGCCGCTGTTTTTCCTCTCTTGACATTAAAGCCTCTTTTTGGACTTGTAATCATGTGTGGCGCGCCTAGGTGTGAGGATTCTTGAACTTGCTCAATCCACCTCATTCTTACAACACCTTCGCCTCCTCAAACGTTGGCATCGCCGGATCCTGAGATCCGAGAGGCGCATTTTGTCATTTTCAGGCTTGGTATTGAGGACGCAAGAGGCCTGTCTGACCGAAATGATTTCGCGGCGTCTGGGTCTTGTGTAACGGCTGTTCGGTCTTTTCTTCGACACCTCCATCTTTGCGGCGGCCTGGCGATATTTCGATCACGAATACCGGATGTCCTGAGCTTTTGAGAGAGAGCGCCTATCGCAGGAATTCTGCAGATTACGACTTCTAGCATCCGTGACCATCGAGCAACACCAACCCGACAGTAGAGGCCATCACAATGAGCCACGACCATGGAGGAAGCAGCAGCGGGGGAGACATGGGGGGAATGACGATGGGAACCGCCCTTTTCCAGGACACAAACGTCCAGCTTGCCAAGTCATTCTGGTATATCATTGCCGGCGTCGTGGGGTTCTTGGGCATCATCCGCGGTCTCAACTACCTCGAAGGCCGCAGACGGTACGAATCTCACCCTTCATCCCGCAATTGTCGAGACAAAAGCTCACTGTCTACAGACTAAAACGATGCCGCTCAGAATCGGTCCAATTCCCAACACGACCGACGAACCACATAACACAAATATGGGCAACCGCAACAGCCCTGACGCGCGAAGCAGGCCACCCGCAGCTCTACATCCCCATCAAGGGCCTCCGCTGGGCCACGCCCCCGCCCCTCGGCCGCGTCCTCGTCCTGCTGGCCTACTGGGCCGTCATCATCTACATGATGGCCGCCGACGCCGTCGTCAAGGACGCGTACTTCTGGGAGCGCATCGGGTTCCGCAACGCGTGGGTCACCATCATGCAAATGCCGCTCGTCTACCTGCTGTCGATGAAGGTCAGCGTCGTCGGGCTCGTCACGGGCACGTCGCACGAGCGGCTGAACTGGCTGCACCGCTGGGTCGCGCGGACGATGTTCGTTACGGCGACGGTGCACGGGTTCCATTTCTGGACGGAGTGGGTGAGGGCGGATTTTGTCGAGACGCAGCTGAAGATCATGCCGTATATCAAGCATGGCATGGGCGCGTGGGGTTTGTTGGTGTGGGCCTTCGTGAGCGGGATGAAGCCGATTAGGGGCATGGCGTACGAGGTGTTTGTCGTGCAGCATGTGCTCTCGGCGGTGATCTTCATTTGGCTGGTCTATGTGCACATCCCGGTGTACGCGAGGCAGTATCTGTGGTTTACCGTGGCGCTCATCTGCTTCGATCGGCTGGCAAGGTGGGCGCTGCTCGCGTGGCAGAACACGAGGCCAAGGTTGAGCAAGTCGTCGTCATCGTCGTGTAAGGGGATGAAGAGGATAGGCCACGAGGTGCAGGTCCGCGCCGTGGGCTCCTCGACGACGGTGCTGACGATCAAGGATGTGCACTTTTCGTGGAAGGCCGGTCAGCACCTATACCTCTGGCTGCCCCGCGTCGGGCCGTTCGAAGCGCACCCATACACCATCGCCTGCGCGCACCAGCTGCCGGAGACGTGCATCTGCAACAGCATCCAGCTCGTCGTCCGCTCGCACGGGGGCTTCTCGCGGCGGCTGCACAAGTTCGCGGAGCGCATGGCCGGCTCCGGGAGGAGGAAGGACACGCTGACGGGCTTCGTGCTGGGGCCGTTCGGGGCGCCGCCGCGGTGGGACATTTATGAGACGATGGTGCTCATCTCGGCATCTACGGGGGCGTCGTTCACGCTGCCGATATTAGAGAGCATCGTGCACAGCCGGCAGAGGATCTGCACGACGAGGGTGGACTTTATATTGATGGCGCGCCAGGGCGAGGAGATTGAGTTCTACACGCAGAGGCTGCGGGAGGCGATGGATCGGGCGCAGGATGTCGGGGTGGAGGTGCGGGTGCATGTCGCCATTACGAGGTCCGGGAAGGCGAGGGAGGGAGAGATGACGACGGTGTTGTACTCTGATCGAGACACGAGTTCGGGGTCGTCGGCGCAGCATCGGCGGATCGCGTCGGACGGGTCGGAGGATGGCGGGGGGTATCAGGAGAAGGGGGTGATGGACGTCGAGAAAGGGGGTGCTGGGGCTCCGTTGACGCCGAGGCGGAGCGGGTCGTCGACGGGCATGGTGAGGGAGTATTACAGCCGGCCGGATCTGAAGGAGCTGATTCGGGACCCCGTCGAGGCGGCGGGCGGGGAGACGTCCGTGGTAGTGTGCGGTGGCCAGTCGTTGACGAGCTCTGTGAGGAATTGTGTCGCCGCGTTGTCTGATGAGAGGGCGGTCCATAAAGGGACGGGGGCACAGGGGATTCATCTTTTTGTCGAGGAGTACTCATTTTAATGTAGATATGAATGACATAAACATCGTGTAAAGTTTGATTATTTCATTGACGACTTGTCCTGTTGAGGTGACAGGAGGTAGGCGAGCTTCTCTGAGACCGACGGAAGGCTCACCATCACCTACTAGGTATGGAAAGCATGCGTACCATGTAGTTTTCTACGTGGTGTATAATCAACATATGCCACGGCAGATAGAGTTCTATAGATTAAGACGTAGCTTGTATGAAACCTGGGGTTCACCTCGTGTCTGGCCTGTAGTACGACTTGAGGAAAAGATCTCTAAGAAAATTGAAATGACAGAACAACCACAACAAATCCAATTCAATCAAAAATTGACTCGACACCTTGGAGACAGCTGAGCCCTCATATGTCGTCAGCAATGGCACAGAGATTCGGTGAGTATGAGTAGCGCTTGTTGACGATACTCTCTCAAGATTAACAGTAAACAAAAGATACACTGGCTCACCGGTGGCTTTACACCAAAAGTGCTGATGACTTAACATCTGATATTCGAGAATGATCGCACACAAAACAGTAGGAACGAACAGAAACCAGAGGAAGAAGAGAGGGATCGGTGAGAAGTCCAAGACCGACACTCACCGAAGCTCCACCGGTAAAAAAATCCCATCGCGGGGCAGTGACTCGGTGAAGAGTACCCCTCCAGGCGTCACCGGTACCCCTCGTTCGGTGAGACCTGCACTCGGTCAGCAGCCAATGGCACGGGCGAATGCCTCTGTGAGTCAGTTGGGCTGGTCCGCAATTTTTTTTTTCGCGGGTGACAACTGCCTCTGCCCGGCGAATCGCAAGACCCCTCCCTCGATCTTTTCCCCCTCCCCTTGTCTTCCCTGCAGCCCAGTCCAGTCATACCCCTCGATGACTAGCGTCGCGCGCTTCTTATTTTCTTCTTTTTCTTCCTCTTCACTTCGTTCAGCCCACGTTCAAACCACCAGCCTGCGCCGAGGACTCTGTTCTGCCAGCTTCCACTCGACCACGCGACCCTTCTCGACCCCGCGTCGACCGCCGTCTCGTCGTCCCCAAGTTGTCGTCCCAACATTCCGACAACTCTCCAACCTTTCCTCGAGTGCACACCCCACCATCGATAGCCTCGCCATCATGTCGACAGAACAGATTAACGCCCAGCTGGAGAAGCTCTCCCTCGGCAAGCTGGAGTCCTTCCCGGGCTGCTACCCGGACGTCAACCCCGTCGACGTCTACCGTTCCCACATCACTACCATGTTCCACGAGGTCACTGGTGTCGAGAAGTCCATCATCTACAACGCCCTCCAATGGACCCAGAGCTTGGACAAGGGTGACATGGTGTTGGCTGTTCCTGCTCTCCGCATCAAGGGCAAGAAGCCCGCGGAGCTGTCAGAGGAGTGGCTCCCCAAGGTCAGTTTGCAGCTCTCAATGGCACTATTGCGCACGCTGCAACAATCGACATGCAGTACTGTGGACTTGACTGACGCATTGGTGCTTCCAGTTCCCCGAGTCTCCCCTCATCGAGAAGCCCGTTTCTTTCCAGAACGGCTCTTTCTTCCAGTTCTGGTTTAAGCCCGGTCCCTTGGCCCAGCTTCTCCTCCCCCAGGTCGCCAAGCGCGGCAAGGACTTTGGCAAGAACCACAACAACGGACTCAAGGACCCCAAAGACCCTTCCCAGGGCAAGAAGAAGATCATCGTCGAGTTCTCCTCCCCGAATATCGCAAAGCCTTTCCACGCCGGCCACTTGCGATCCACAATCATTGGCGGTTTCATCTCCAACCTGTACGACGGCGCCGGCTGGGATGTCACTCGTGTCAACTACCTCGGTGACTGGGGCAAGCAGTACGGTCTTTTGGCTCTGGGCTTCGAGAGGTTCGGCAACGAGGAGGCCCTGGCCGCTGACCCCATCAACCACTTGTACGAGGTCTACGTCAAGATCAACGCCGAGATGAGCGCTGAGAAGGAGTCGATCGAGGCCAAGGAGAAGGCTGGCGAGGATGTCACCGCGCTCAAGGACAACGGCCTGGACGAGAAGGCCCGTAAATACTTCAAGGCCATGACTGCTGGCGACGAGACTGCTGTTGCTCAGTGGAAGCGTTTCCGTGACCTCAGCATCGTCCGCTACAAGGAGACATACGCTCGCCTGAACATCCACTTCGATGATTACTCTGGCGAGAGCCAGGTCCCCGAGAAGGACATGGAGGCCGCGGCCAAGAAGCTCGAGGACATGAAGATCTCTGAGGAGTCGCAAGGTGCTGTTATCATCGACTTCACAAAGCACGTGCCTGGCAAGGCTGGCAAGAGTCTGGAGCGCCCCATCATTCGCAAGAAGGACGGCACTGCCCTGTACCTGACCCGAGATATCAGCGAGTTGCTGAACCGCGAGAAGAAGTACGGCTTCGATCACATGATCTACGTTGTTGCGTCTCAGCAGGATCTGCACCTTAAGCAGCTCTTCAAGATTATTGAGCTGATGGGCTACCCCGAGACCGCCAAGAAGTGCCAGCACATCAACTTCGGCCTTGTCCTCGGCATGAGCACTCGAAGGGGAACAGTCAAGTTCTTGGATGATATCCTGCGAGATGTCGGCGACCACATGCATGAGGTGATGAAGAAGAACGAGTCGAAGTACGCCCAGGTCGAGAACCCTGAGGCCACTGCCGACATTCTTGGCATCAGCAGTGTCATGGTCCAGGACATGAGCGGAAAGAGGTAAGTCGTCTAAAGTTTGGCCCCGGGCACTTTCGGATGCACTGACATGGGTCGACTAGGATCAACAACTACAAGTTCGACATGGACGCGATGACTTCCTTCGAGGGTGACACGGGACCGTACCTCCAGTACGCCCACGCTCGTATCTGCTCCATCTTCCGCAAGGCTGGTCTCTCGGAGGAGGAGATTGCCACGGCGGATCTCAGCCTTCTGACTGAGAAGCATGCTATCGAGCTTATCCGCATCCTCAGCCAGTACCCTGATGTCGTCCAGAACACGCTGAAGACACTGGAGCCGACGACTGTGCTTACGTACCTGTTCCGCATGACCCACGTCGTTAGCAGCAGCTACGACCACTTGCGTATTGTAGGCAGCGAGCGCGAGCTCATGAAGGCTCGCTTGGCTCTGTACACCGCAGCCAGGACCGTGCTCTACAACGGCATGCGTCTGTTGGGACTTTCCCCGGTCGAGAGGTGAGTGCACCAAGCGCTGGGCGATGCATCTTGTTGCATGTGAAACTAGTTGCTGACCAGTCAAACAGGATGTAATGTGGCACTGTAGAAAATCATTCTTGTGGGAGTCAAAACTGGAGGGGAATACGGCCAGCTCGATATAGACTGGGCAGCCGGAGATGAGAAACGAGAGCACTAACAGCGGGCGCAGGAGCAGTCGTACGAATGACGATTGTGACGAGGAGCTACTGTGGTGGCAGACCGGCACAACGGCCACTAGCCATCAGCCACAACGAGAAGCTACGCTATCTTGGCGAGCGCTTTGGACCGATGTGGCGCCGTGTAACAAAGAACACCCACGGGCGAAGGATCAAATGCTCTCCGGAGTCCTCGAAGGCCCCGTGGCCGCGAGGTTCATCGGAACAAGCAGATGACACGACCCAATGGATTCGCGCGTGCGCCAGCCGTTACAGTGCTGATTAATAAAAGTTGAAGTTCATAAAAAAAATGGAGATGAGGCGCAATGTTGACTGACGAATATCTGCAAAACGAATGCGATGAGATCTGGACGCGCAAGATTGCATGGCAAAGCCCCATTCTCCCAGTAGGGCTGCTTGCTTCTCTGCAGAGCAGCGCAGACAGCAAGGCAAAGCAGAGCAGAGCAGGCACGCAGGGCAGCAAAACGGGGGCAAAGCTCAGCTAACGGTCCCGCTGAGCACTGTTCGTGGACGGTTCGAGGTCATGGTGAAGCGCGGATTCTGCCCAGAGGACAAATTGAGAGAGCCGCGACGGTGTCGTTTCGCCCGTCCTCAGGTGAGAAAAGTCTGCCCCGTCATGACTGTCAAAGCAACTTTGTGCAGCCCACTTCTGCGAGCCGCGACGCCTTCGATGGCTTTTTTCCCCTGGTCCTCCCGCAGTCCCGTCCAACTGCGTCAACGGGCTGGCTGGGTGGCTTTGTCTGACGCTCGGTGACTGCGTGGGGGATTCCATTCTGGGCGCCAACGAAGTGATCGACTCGCTCGGATAGCGCTAGGGCGTCCTAATCCCTGCCAACACCGAATCTTGCATATTCCCAAACGCTAGAGATGCGATGGCTCTCGACGGCTCTGACTGGTTCGCCATAGCTCAGGGCAGTTCTGAGTGGCTGCCCAGTACGATGGACGGCTCGCACTCGATCTGCCAACGCTTGTGGTTCCTCATCTCCGGCTGCGAGCCGCCCCCGCGCACCGTGGCTTGCAGTTGATCGACACCAGTAATCTACGCTTCAAGACTCCGATGACTACGTGACGCCCTGATTGCTTTTTCTTGCCAACCACCGAATGCAACATTGTCAAGAGCTACCTTTCCCCCTTGAGACTGTATTGACTCTAGGAGGCCGAGACTGACATCTTGCCAAGACACCGAGATATTACACCTCACCAACCCATCATCAAATATCTGCCGATGCATCCTGCGCTGCCCTTATGCCTTCAGTGCGGAGCACATTGCGGGTTCGGCATCAGCATTACCAGCATCAGCACTATCATCATGGCGTGAGCCTTCGCATTATCTATCTTACCTCCGAGCAAGGCGTAAGCGAAGGGAGAGAGCGAGAGAGAGCCGCGCCCTAGCGGCAACGCTTTTGCCTAGAATGCTTCCAAACCGCGGTGCCAACTGCCCAGCCCATCTTGCCAAATTTAGGCGACGGATAGTATGATGTTCCCTTTTTGTGCCTCGCTCCAAGGTTTTAGCTGCAAGCTACTGTTCTGTCCGGCAACCTGGCGCCTTGTCTGTGCCGAGACCGGATGAGCCCCGACCTCCGGCACCCACCGCAGTAGCTCTACCTGAGGAACGGTGCCTGGGCATATGGTTCAGATGCCCAGTGGGCAAGACCAAGTGGGACGAGGATGATCCCTTTGGAGGCCGAAGAGATCCTTGGGATAGGTGGCATGGCTTGCATGGGTGTGTCCTCTTCGCCGACCAGAGATATCGACTCGGCCAATCTTTTGACCCCTGTGTTTTGGACTTCCCGCGGCTGCAACGCGCATCCTACCATCAACCCATATTCTAACCATCTCCTTGGGCCCTAATGGCAAGAGGAGCCAAGGTCAAACCCTGCTGAGGTCTGGGAGGTATGATGGTCTTCCCACACGCCCTGCAAGGACGGGCATCGGCCTTTGCTAGCATTCCGTGAGCTCCCACGCCTAGGAAGCTCTCGGGGCTTGTACCTCTGGAGCTCCCCGTCTCTGGAGGCGAACTTTGTGTGTCTGATGTTTGCCTGTGATGGAGCTCAGTCCCCGACGTCAGAACTCAACGAACCATATGTCCGGGAACAAGCCAAGCAAGCACAACGGCCGGTATGCAAGCGCAACAAGTCCTCGTTGTGCAAACCTTGGGCAGGATTATCCCCTCATCACGGACCAAGACTCTGGGCTGCCCTCCATCCTCACCGCATGTCGTTGTTTCCAAGGCGGAATAGTGGCGTTCAACGAACCGCTGGTCCTGGCCTGACCTGACCTGGTCTGACCTGATTGACATGTTGCCGCCGCCGTCGCCCGCCCACCCGCCGCCGCCGCCGCCAACGCAGCTGTGCGCCGATCTTTGTAATTCGTAATGGGGGTGGACTACCACACTACCCTCGCCCTTGGCGCTTGGGGACAATCCGGCGTGTGTGGATGGATGTCCACACGCGGGTCAATCATGTTTCCAGACAAAGGGACCGTTGAGCGTTCTCCGTCGGCCCGCTTGGGCTCCAAACGACCAGACGGCTTGAACGTGACCCTGACTCTTCTTATTAACAGCCCAGAGACACACCGTCCGTCAGACCCGTCATCGTGGTTCTTCTCTTTTCCTGTTCTTCCTGCAACAGCGGGAGACCTTACTCACCCATTCCTTTCTTGCCTCTTCGACCTACCCTGACTTTTTTTTGTTGAGGTCGTTTACTCTTTCCTTTCTCCATACCAAGCATAGACCGACGAAACTTCCACCATCAACTTACTCTTATTGTGTAATTCTTCTTCGAGGCCAGCAAACATGGCCATAGGCGTGGCACTTCTCGCCTTTATTGTTTTCTGCGCATGGCGCCTATACTCCGCCATCAAGCTGAAGAAGAGGCTTCCTGAGGGAGCTAAGCCCCTTCCTGGGCCCAAGGGTAGGCTGCCTCACAGGTGATGATGATGACTATGATGCTCACATCGGACAGGTCTTCCTTGGATTGGTCGTGTACACGATGTGCCGGCGGAGGCAACATGGCTCAAGTTCTACGAGTGGGCGAAGGAGTACGGCCCTATCTATGGGCAGGAGATGTTCGGATCCTACCACGTCTGGATCTCTTCGGAGCAGATCGCTCATGACCTTCTCGGCCGCCGCAATGTCATCTACTCAGACAGGCCCATGATCCCCAATCTGCCTGACAACAGGACAAGTGGCGACTACCTTGCCCTGCTTGGCCGCACCGGTAGGCAATGCTCCTGAGCTTCCGCAAGTCACACACTAATGGTAGCATGCAGACACATGGAAGCGTCAGCGCAGACTCTGCCATCATCTCATGAACCAGAGCGACAAGGAAGAGCTCCACGCTTACCCGACCCGTGAGCGCGATCGATTTTTGTGGCTTCTCTCCCAGAACCCCGGCGATTATCGCGAGTATGTCGAGCAGTTCACCAGCCGTACCGTAAGCCGTCTGTCATGGGGAACCGCCCACCCGGCCCGCATCCTCCGCAAGACGACCTTCGGCCTGCTGGAGACCATCTCCCCCTCCGGTGCCCTCCCTAACGTTATCTCATTCCTGATGCACGTTCCGGATGTCCTGTCGCCATGGAAGAAGAAGGAGCGCGCCCGTCACGAGCTCGAGTCCCGGCAGTTCAAGAGCAATGTCGACTTCGTCGTCGACCAGGTCGAGAAGGGCACCGCGCAGCCCAGCTTCATCAGCACATTCGTTAACCAGGGTCTCGGCGACGAGAAGGAGAAGGGCAAGTGGGGCGATCTGAAGGAGGCTACCAATGTCGTTGGTCTCATGGCCATCGCCGGCGCCCTCACTATTGGCAGCCCTATCCAGAGCTTCCTCCTCGCCATGTTACATTACCCCGAATGGCAGGCTAGACTGCAACGCGAGATCGACGAGGTTTGCGAGGGCAGGTGTCCTCAATGGAGCGACCGCGAAAAGCTGCCCATGCTGAGAGCCGTTGTCAAGGAGGTTATCCGGTGGAGACCACCTGTTCCTACTGGTATGTGCAGCGATCCTTCATCGTAAGGCTGACTTTAGGTTCGTGTGACTGACGTGCCGTTACAGGCATCCCCCACGCTGTCGAGAAGGATGACGTCTACAATGGTTTCTTCATCCCTGCTGGTGCCACGATCCACGCCCTGGAATGGTAAGTTCTCACAAACCCAAGACATTCCCCGTCGGACCCCCGAACTAACAAGACATTTAATAAAGGGGCATCACCCGCGATGAGTCAATGTACCCCGATCCCGAGACATTCAACCCCGACCGCTGGCTGCAACCGTCCTACCCCACGTTCAAGGAGCCTCTCACCCGCTTCCCCAACCTTGACGGCTTCAGCCAGTTCGGCTTCGGCCGCCGGACGTGCCAGGGCGTGCCTATTGTCGACCAGGACCTCTTCCTCATCATGGGCGGCATGGCGTGGGCGCTCAACATCACCAAGAAGCGCAACGCGGACGGTAGCGAGGTGCCCGTGCACTGGAACGACTACACGCCGCTGCTGATCGCCAAGCCGGCCTTCTTCGAGTTCGACGCCGCCGTGCGCACGCCCGAGAAGGCAGACATGATGAAGGCCATGTTCGACGCCGCCAAGGAGGAGGAGGAGCACGAGGAGAAGATGATGAAGGCGGGCATGCCCGACATTGGCGACGTGCCGGAGAGGAAGCAGGCGCAGCAGCAGGAGGCCGGCGGTGCTGCGAGGCGGGCGTCTGTGTTCTTCAATCTGAGGCAGCGCAAGGAGGAGGGCGAGAGGGAGAAGGTGTACCGCGAGCACGAGCGGGATATCCCCGGATGTCCCGGCCGCTGGGCGACGGAGAGCGATGTGGAGTCGTCGAATGAGAAGGGGTATGTTGACGATGACAGCTGCTCCGGGCGGTCATCGCCGACGATGCTGCCGTAGTTCTGGGGATTGTTATTGGGTAGGGGAGGATGGAGTGACGGAGCCAAATTTGGTTTGATATCAGGATTCTCTTTGTTGTTTTTCTTACAGCCCATCTTTTGGAAAAAAGATGCCGACGCTACTGGAGGAGCTGGGGTAATCTGGGGTCTAGATTGTGACATGGATATACCTTCTACGATGTATGAATATAGAACAAGAATCTTTCAACCAAAAGATCAATTATCATTAACTGCAATCCCCTTTCTGCGTGAATTTGGCGATGAAGCTTCTGTGGACTAGATACCAGATCTTGCCATGTTATTCTTGGCACATTGCGGCAGCCCCAGAATACATCCCGCTCAACTACTGAGCTGCGCGGATGAGTGATAATTTGATGACTTGCGGCGGCAGGCGTGGGGGTTGTGCAAGTCCATCAGAGCGACCAGCCCTCTCTGCGCGCTGCTTTTGATGGCAACTCACGTTGTAAACACATGGTCATATCCTCAAGCCGAGTGTGTAGCCATGTTCATTTAATGATTAAAGCGCACATGCCAGCTTCGCCATGACAAGTTTCATTGACTACGCATAGGGCGGGATGCACACCGTCGACAAATCGTGCGTCTTCAAAGAGGCGGACGCTCTCAGGCTCGCTCGGGTAAGTGCAAAGTAACCCAGAATCATAGCCCTCTTCATTGCGACATAAGCTCAAGTTATTTACTCCAACTGATGCTTCAAAATTTGCAGCGCATGCCCTGCTAACGAACTATCTGGGCTTAGGGACTGAAGAAAGCTAAAGCATGTGTTAATTATGGCGCTATGTTCTGATGTGGTACATCCACAGAACGCCTCGAATTTGGAGAGAATATTTGCAGCCGCAAATACAGGAAGAATGCGAGACCTAATTAATTTCAACTTTGGTTAGTAATGCTTCGAACATTCACCCGTATGACGCTAGTGTTTGCTCACCAGATGAAATGTCGAGGCGGATCTGAATCCATTTCTATAATTATGTCGTGTATTTCATGAGCAGCGTCAACGCAGCGTTTGATAGCTGTTGTGTGCTGTCCTCTGTCCCCTGCCGTGTCCTCTTGAATCGTGCGGTTGATAACTATACGGTAGTAGTTGCACAATAGCCTGATGTTGTATCGCTGCCACCTCACCCATTCCTCTTCACTATCGCCAGCAACATCAAACGTCGTGGAGCTTCTGGATGATCGAAGATGGGCGGGTAATTGAGTGATGACGGCGGTGAGCTGATCATTGGTCTCGGTGACGATTGTTGAAATCCCAGGGCTGTCCGAGACGTTTAAAAGGCGGGCTTGAAAGTGACGAAGAACCGAAGCAAGCTTGCAGAGCGCTATCAAGTGCTGTACCGGACGGAGAGCGGGGGTGAATCCTTCGAGATTGACGCCGAGCGAAACCTCGACGTCGTCCAGCTCCAACGGTTGATCGACCGTGAATTCTGATTCATCGATGCAGCTATGTCCGAGCGGCAAGTTCAACCAGTCGTTTGCTATGAGTGGCCAAAACAAGCGGCTTTGATATTGGCTTTCGAGCGACATCCCTCCGTCTATGTTCTGATCAAGACCGACACTGTGGCAAATGCGGGCGGCACAAGACCACAAAATGTAGTACATGTTAAGCTCGCCGAAGTGAACGTAGGAGCCGCCCAAGAGTACGATGGTTCGGACGTTGATCAGCCTGGGATCCCTGATGAAGTCTGCGGCGTGAAGGAAGAAGACGGATGCATCGAACCAGTTGGCTCGGTATTGCTCCAGCCGATCTGAACGGTGGCGCTATTAGAAGATGATTTTCACGGCAAATGAGGCCTAGAAGAAGGAATCCCCACCCTTAGACATCCCCATCGACTCGGCTTCGGGCAGAGTGAGGAAAAGCACTGAAACCTGTGGCCGAATTAGCGATACTACCCCTGAAGCTGCCTCGCAGACTAGACCTGCCGTTAGGTACGCGAAGTACAGTCCTAGCCATGCTGGATCACTGTTTTTGTGGAAGCCTGCCTCACCAAGTTCCGAAAAAAACTCGTCGTGGACTTTTTGGAGTTCCGCAGGGTTCAAGGAGCAGTTGACCCAGGGAACCCAGTTCGCGCCGTGGTTCAGAATTCATTGGCTAAGCTGCTTTGAGGGCAGAACAACGTCCTCATTTCTTTTGACTGTCAACTCCCGTGAGTGGCTCCGAAGACGATTGTAGAGTGAGTTCTCGGGGTCATCGATCTTGTGCAGCCGAATGCACCTCCCCGGACGCGCCGGCCTCTGTCTAGGGTCTGCCTTCAAAGAGGTCAACTCCTCTCGGAGAGCGCGATTTTCATCAAGCAGTTCGGCATAGGTTGGCTGAGCATCATCCACCGACGGCGGGCGGCCTTTCACTCGAACAAGCTCAGCAGCGCAGGATTCTGCCTGGCCCCGGACCCGGCAATTGCGGCAAGGCAGGTTCTTGTCACATTTCACCTTGCGCCTCGCGCAGAAAGTGCAAGATTTCACGGTGCGCTGTGACGAGCGTAACTCCGATGTCATGGTAACAGCCTTGCTTTTGGTGTAATTGCAGAGGTGAATCGTGGAGTGAACTAGTGTCGTCTGAAAGCACAAATGTCCGATGGCTCAACCTTATTGGCGCTAAACTCGCCCGAAACTCGGCCGTGAAAGGGTCGAACCCTACGTCATTTCGGACTGTTACGGAATGAGCCTGGACCTCAATGACAACAGTTGTAATAGTGAGGTGCCCTACAGGGATCTCTCTGACTCAAGAATGATGGTGTTAAATAAGTGGAGTTGTGATGTCTCTCATTTCCCCATCAACTCGCCCGAGGTCGGCCGTGTTTGTTAGCCATCACTGTCTTCATCATAGAAATGGCTTCGTACAAAAGTTCAAACACATTCGAGCAGCATGTTTTGTCTTTTGCACTTAAATAGACGTCTACTCTGCTGCCGTTGAGTTTAATGTTTCCCGGAATGGAAAGCTCTCCAGAGAGCTTTCACCATTCGAGTTCCTTGCACCGGGCTGATTTGCCCTCGGTCCATATTTTATTCTTTTGGCTTCAACCACGCACCAATATCTTATGTCTGATTCAAAAATGTCCTTACAACTGCGATATTCTCCAATAGGCGTCCTCCTCAGGGCATTTTCAAATCGCAGACTCCTTCTCTATCCCGAAGAGCAGCCCGACTTCAAGTTGGATTTGTCCCGTTACGGGGGGCTCAGCAGCAGTTGTAATACGGCGACTTCTACGATCAACACCGTTCAACCAAATTCAATCGCTGATAAGTCTCCCGGCAGCCATTACGACTTTTCCCCTGGCCATCGCTATACGACCGTGTGCTGGTATGCACCTGACGACCCTGAGAATCCGAGAAACTGGACGAATCGCAGTCGAGTCTTGATCACTCTCATCATCTGCCTATACACGTTCGCTATATACACATCTTCGGCCATATACATTTCAGCTATCGAGGATGTTATTGTTGAATTCGACGTTACACACGTCGAGGCTTCATTAGGACTAGCTCTATTCGTCCTAGGCTATGGCGTTGGGCCTCTCCTATTTCCCCCCCTTTCTGAAATTCCTCGCATCGGTCGCAGTCCAATATACACGTTAACGATGGCGCTCTACGTCATTGTGTCTGTTCCAACTGCGCTTACAAAAAGCTGGGCCGGCTTCTTGACTTGCCGCTTCTTTCAAGGCTTCTTTGGATCTCCTTGTCTTGCCTCAGGCGCCGCCACGCTGGACGACATCTACGGACCGAAGGGTTTACCATTCGCTCTCACGACCTGGACCAGTGCTAGCTTTGTAGCCCCCGCGATCGGGCCTTTGCTATCCGGATTTGCGGTGCCGGTAATAGGCTGGCGCTGGTCAATGTGGGAGATCCTCTTATTGTCAGGCCCAACACTACTCCCGATGCTTTTGCTGCCAGAAACCTCAGGGCCAACCATTATTCATTACAGAGCACAAAGACTGCGCCGCCTGACTGGACGGAGTGACCTGCAAAGTCTTGAGGAGCTTGACTCTCGAAAATTGACAGCATCTCATGTTCTCAAAGAAGCTTTCATTAAGCCGCTTGAGATCACCGTCAAAGACCCGGCTGTTCTTTTCGTCCAAATTTACACAGCTATCAATTACGGCATTTACTATTCATTCTTTGAAGTTTTCCCTATCGTCTATACAAACTTATACGGCATGACAACAGGCAAGGTTGGTATTGTCTTCCTGTGCATTTTGCTTGCGTGCATTCTCGGAGCCGGATTCTACTTCTTTTTTTTGAAAGTTTACATGATCCCGAGAATGCGCCTGTCAAAGTCTGTCGTCGACCAGGAGACGCGACTACTTCCCACCCTCGCCGCGTCTTTCGGCCCGACAGTCGGCTTATTCGTCTTTGCTTGGACCTCCTCGCCACGCATTCATTGGACTGTGCCAACGATTGGCATCACGATCTACAGCGGGAGCGCATTCATCATTTTGCAATGCGTATTTGCATATATCCCGCTGTCTTATCCTCGATTCTCTGCGAGCCTCTTCGCTGCGAATGACTTTTTCAGGGGTACGTTTGCTTTTGCCAGTATTCTCTACGCGAGACCTCTGTTCGAAAATTTAGGAATTGCTCGTGGCTGTTCCTTGTTAGGGGGTCTCAATACCATTGGTATTGTTGGGAGCTGGACGTTAAACCATTGGGGCGCTGCTCTAAGGGCTCGGAGCAAGTTCGCAGATTCATAACTTCAATTACTTCCCACAACACTCGCTTGTCAATAACCAGGCTTTTGGTGATCCCGATTGTCTGTGACATCGTCGTTCAAGCAACTATTAGCGAGCTGATGAGAGATAGTAAAGAGATTTGTGTTACGGCCTGTAAGTCATGATCAACCCTGCATGTTTAGAACATACGAGGTTGTAAGCAGCAACGACGCTGGGTGAGAGTAACAACAGTGTGATTGCTTCAATGGTGATGTGGCTGGGGACCAACGGATGAAACTTATTGATTTTGCCGTGCTCCCTTGGGATAGGCGTGCAGACG